AGGATCTAAAAAAAACTTATCAACCAAACGCAGTTAAGTACCTTCCTTTATCCCAATTGGAACAAAACAATAAAAAAGAATACTTAACAGAGCTGAGTAAAAACACTACACAGACTGGGAATCAGATAATAATAAAGAATTGTTCCGTGAAATGAGAAAACGGTATTATGGATTCTTTTTAAGTCTATTAAGAAAAACATACATAACTCTAGGGATAACAAGAAAATGTCTGAGATTTCCTCTAAAATAGTCTAGAAAACCAGGTGTGTGAGGTAGGAGAAGGCGAGGCAGTAAAGACAAGAACCAAAACAAGGTCTGTGAAAGGTACATGAGAATTCACTAGTTTCTCTCTTATGTGTACACCTTGATATTTTTTATACCAAGGGGGCAGGGAAGCACTGGGTCTGACATTTTTTAGATGCTGTTTATCTGTTGTTGACGTTAACCTTATTTTCACTTCAGAATCCACTTTTTAGCACCATCCCAGGCTTTCTTCTCTTTTACAGAACTGATTAACTGTCCGACTCCCTTGGTTGTGCGATACATTATCAAGTGGTACCGTGCCAAGGCAGAAAGGGACCTTAAGAGTATTTCATCGAACGTTCCCATTTTAAAGACGATGAAACTTGAGGCCCAAAGACTTTCATTAGTCCATGTGTTTCGTCACCATGCAACGAAAATTACGCGGCCCAAATTTATCTGCGTACGTCTAAATCACGAGGAAACCCTGCAAACGTCTTGACTGCCGACGCTGGGCGGCTCCAGATGTATAAACGCGCACTTTCCTTCTCTAGGTGTAAACACACGTCACGCGCCCATTCCGGCAGCGACTGAGTAGGGGCGAAGCTGACAACTCTGAGCTGGGGGAGCCCACCTGGGACCCAGAACAGCCTTCCCGGCCCAGCACAGCTACCCCGTCCTCGCCCGAGCCTAATGGGCAGAGAGAACAGATGGATAACTCGAGAACGATGCAGCGGCTGCGCGATGTGCGTACGCAGAGCGGCACGCAGCGGCTGCGCGATGTGCGTACGCAGAGCGGCACGCACGGCGCACAGAGGTACGCACGCTGCGAGCTCGTCTCGGTCGTGCGCTGTCCGCTATTCTCGTGTCGACCGCTAGGCGGCTGCTCACCCAAACTCCAAATGGCCCCCGGGAAGTTGGAAACGTCCAGCTCCAATCGCCCCTTTCCTCTTCCCTAGGAGGACACAACGAGGATGACTGCTGCTGGTCACCACGACTCCGACTCCGACTCCCGGCCGTGGCCCGCGAGCCTCCGCGCTGGCGCTCATTGCGCGCGCGAGAGGCCGAGCCCGGCCGCAGCGGGAAGTGACGTGCGTCCCGCAGCGCAGCCAATCGCTGCCTGAGTTGGCGCAGGCGCCCAAAATCAAAGCGACCAGCGACTGGGTCTTTTGATTTTGTGCGTGTGTCTGTTTCTTTTCTTTTCTTTCTTTCTTTCTTTCTTTCTTTTTTTTTTTT